ATATATACAGAGATCAGCGTTCCTTAAGAAATTACTTTAAGTTTGCTGAAATAATTGAGAGACTAACATGCCAACGTAGATTACGCGTGCGTGTGCGCACATACACACGCGCACACACACACACACGCACGTAACAGGCAGGAAGGTCAAAACCATGTTGAAAAGCCCTGGCATAGCACGCCCATGCATACACCTCACATTTTGTAACATTTCTAAAAGTGACTTCTGGTATCATTCATGCACATTCAACAATATGAAAATGTTACTTTTGATCACATTTGCCTAATAAAGGTATAAGGCATGGTCAAGAGAAGTCATGGATCGAGATGGTTAGTATGTCAGTAACTGGAAAATCAACCATTTAAACTGAGTTTGCTTTGGGTCAGGTCGCCCCTAGGCCTAAGAGTGAAAGAGTTCCTTGTAGCTGATCTGTGTTGAGGTCCACTGTGCTGGAGAATAGGCAGAGGGTCACACAGGGCTGCCACAGCTGGAGGTCCCAAAGTGAATTTGGGCTGTTATCTGCGTGTGACCAAGGAGCCACCCCATATGAAGTGGACAGCAGAACTGTGTGAATTTAGGTGCACAATGGCTTGGCCTTACTGGGCCCCTGGGAGGCCAGTCAAATGCATTTCATTTGAGCAAAGGACGTGCAACCCCTCTGTGACTACAACTCTCATGCTCACCCCATAGTGTCGGCAAAGATGGTCAGCCAGCCAGAAAGTAGGGTGGAGTGTATACCACTGTGGCTTATTAGCCTTGCCCACCTGAGTGGACACTCCAGTTTAGGGTGGGTAGACCAGTGCACCTCCTGGGTTGGGGCCAGGCTAGCCTGTTTCTGAGGCAGAAAAAGTGACTGGTTTATAGAGAAGAAATCTTACCAGAAAAGGGGATATTTCAGAACAGGGTTTGAATCCATTCAGAACATTTCAATCATGACCAACAGTGTGTACTGTTTCATGGAGAAGGAGTCCTGGTGTGGTGCTGTAGAATAAACAATGGATTGCTAACTGCAGGGTCAAACCCTACACAGTGTCACTATGGGTCAGAACCAACTCAACAGCACTTAACAACAACAACCTATAGAGTCACTATGAATCGGAACCGACTCGATGGCACTTAACAAAACGACAGGAAACAGGTAGGGAAACACTCAACATGGTGACTGATACACATTCACAGCAGCAGAGTTGGTCACCATCTTTGAGCAGGGCACCCCTGCTTGTTTCTTGTTGTTGTTAAGTGCCGTCGAATCAGTTCTGATCCATAGCGACCCTGTTTCCAAGGAGCGGCTGGTGAGCTTGAAATGCCAATCTTGAGGTTCAAACCAACTTTTCAGTCCAGCACATTAAACCACAGCGCCACACCAGAACTCCTGTTTCTTGTTTTTGTTGTTGTTAAGTGCTGTTGAGTTAGTTCTGATCCATAGTGTCCCTGTATAGGGTTTCCAAGAAGGAGCTGGTTAGCCTGAACCATAGACTTTGCAGTTCAAACAGCTTTGCAGTCTGGCGCATTAATCCACAGTGCCACACCAGGACGCCCCTATTTCTTAGTGGGGTCAAAGTCTCACATGCACCAGATTTGGTTTCTATGCAACATGTACGCTCCACTGGCCAGGACTGTTCTGAGCCTGTTAGAAACCCTGTGTAAAAAACTCGAGGGTACACTGGTGAGGGTCTTTCTGTCAACAGTCACCAACATCAACTATATTAGACAGGAAAAAATTGAAATTGAAGTTAGCAACACTTCAAATAATTTGATATAGTTTATGAAAATAGCATGTGGTATGCAAAAATGCATAATGTACGCATTATTTGTGCAAAAAATGGTAATTCTGAATACAATCATTGGAAGTTTGCATATGACGGATCATTTTCAGTGGAAATCTCCATCATTAAAGGTACTGACAATTACACGAGCATGCACTCTGAAAATGAGACTTCTATTTGAAACAAAAATATGCAGGAGTGATTTTTTTAAACTGTACTTTGGTTAGTTGATAATAATTTAATGCTTAATGATCTAACAATTATTACCTAAAATTAAGAGCTCAATGAAAGACACATGTTAAAAAGTACTTGCTAAGATATAAAACAATAGAGGCAGCATTTGTGTCACAAGCAAACGAACCAAAAAAAGGGGGAGGAAAAAGACCACAAAATCTTTCTAAGACCACCAAATCTTAATGGAGCTTGTCTAAGCATATTTTTCTTTTTTCTAATTTGCTGTATCTTCACAATGTTCTGTAAGTCAAGCCTTTGACATCCACAATGACGCTTCTTGAGACCACCTAGAATCTTCACTTCATCAAATGCTGCATTAAAATGTAAACTGTTAGTAATCTGCTCACTCACCATGACTGCTCAGCCGTCATGGCCAGATCATTTTAAGTTTAGGGGAAGGAGGGAATAAAGAGACAACTTCATTTTACATAAAAGCCTGATATGCCAAAATCTCCTAACAGACCAATGTCATTTAAAAATAAGTAATTCTATGTCATTCAAAAATAAGTAAATAAAAGAGCATATTTAAGAAACAAATCTAGTATCAACAGAAACCAGAGAAAAATTACCTTTCCTGCTCCATTTGTTAACGCCACTACTGATGACAGGATGCAGTCATTAGTGGTTATTAGCTTCTGCGTTGCTGTTGGAAGTTCATGCTCTATTGTAGCTTTTTGACTATAATGTTTGGAAATATCTATAAAAGCAATCCAATGAAAACTTATTATTGTCTAAATACAAATCCCATACATACAATCAGACTTCTCATACTTACTCTTAAAACTTTGTAAAATAAATTTGACAAAGAATGATCCCTAGTACCAGGTTTACATTGGATATTGGTTAGGTTATATTTCACACAGAAAAGTAGAACTCATGTGAGTGTTCATCTTAATTCTAACATTCAGTAAAATGTCCCTGGCCAGTGTTAGCCAGTTAGAAACCACTGTTTAGACAGTCCAGTAGGCAGTAATGAGACATTACTCAGGACTTATATAACAAACCATGAGGCTGGACAGCCCATAGAGCCCACTGTCTCGGTTCTTCCTGGACCCCTGCTAGTTCATGAGTACAAATACTAACTGACAATAAGGACTGGATGTTGCAATGTCCATTTGTATATACTATCGGTTCCAGTCCACGCTTACAACAAAGGACCCTGGTCAGCAAAAGACAGAAAAGAAAGGGTTAGAAAATTACAATGTGTGAGACTGTGGCCAATAGGCTTTAGGGTCTTCTGGATCTCAGACAGAGATACATTGGTTTTTATCTTGGAAATAAGGGGAAAGGAGGAAATTTAGTTTACAAGGATGGATTATTTATATACATGGATATTTTTAAATGATAATGTATTTACAAATTAGCTTCTTTTGAATGTTCAGAATATTACATTATAAAATCACTAATTAACCTTGTTAAAAAAAAATCACAAAACATGGAAATTAACTTTTATAGCAGGTGTGCATACAGAGAATTTACTCTGAATCAAGAGATTTAAAGGCATGCTGGTGGTGCAATGGTTTAAGTGCTCAGCTTTTGGTTAGACAGTTGAAGGTCTGAACCCGACAGTGGCTCCACAGGAGAAAAGACCTGGTGATCTGCTCCCATAAAGGTTCTGGCCAAGGAGATCCTGTGGGGCAGTCCTACTCTGTCATACAGGGTCACTATAAGTCAGAATCAATTTCACAGCATACAACATTCACCATGAATGAGGCTATTTTTTACTGAAATTTTCAAACTAGGGAATTTTTATGCATTGTTGTTGTTGTTGTTAAGTGCTACCAAATTGGTTCTGACTCATAGTGACCCTGTATAGGGTTCTAAAGAGCAGCTGGTGAGTCTAAACTGCCAACTTTGAGGTTAACAGTCTAGCATTTATCCTACAGCATCATACCAGAACTCCAATATCTGACATTACTACTGTATATTTTTTACAGCTAAGGAGCCAACATTGGTACATTACTATTGCTTAATGTATCTTTTAAATAAATGATTGCTCTCTATATACTCATAAGATAGTAATTCAACTGGAACACTGAACAATTTTTGTATGCTAAATTTACTAGCCTTTAAAATAGGCGTTTTCTTCCTATACACTACTTTACTCAGTATTTTACTGGAAGTATATAAAGCTATAATAACAAACTTGGTTGGTAAATAACTGAGGGACTTGTAAAAGGTGCGCAATTAAGAATGCTTAGATGGCTTCTACAGGATCAATGCTATTGTAGTCTGAACTATAATAATTTTTCTAATCCAACTGTTTACTCCTTATCAAGTCCAAGGCCTTCTATTATTTAGCATAATCCTTAATGGTAATTTTTAACTCCAAAAAATACAAGGAAATCTAAATACAAAGTAATCTAGAACACAGATTTATTTTTTCCATTCAATGTTTTCTAATAGTCTACCTGCTTTAGACCTCTCTAACAGATTACAGATTTTAAAATCCTCGCTTACAATGTCACTTGTGAGTAATTTAGTAAATTCCATTAATTTATATTTCATGTAAGATATACATTTTCTTAAATCTGTATGTCTCTTTTACACTGAAACCAACATTTCTTCTTTCCTTCCTTTCCAACCTAGACCACACAATTATTTAGTGAAAAGCAGGAGAGGGAGAGTTTAAAATAAAAGTTCTCTTCAAAGCAAAGCTATTCTCTAATTGTCAATTAACAATCACCACATTTTCATGAGCGATTCAGAATATTCTTCTGGATACAAGACAGGTAAGAAGACAGATTTTAACTGTAAATCTAACAACCAACCAAAACAACCCATTACCCTCAAGTTGAATTCCAACTCAGAGAGAACCGCCACGACAGAGCAGAACTACCTCACACGGTTTCCAAGGCTGTAAATCTTTAGGGAAGCAGACTGCCACATCTTTCTTCCATGAAGCAGCTGGTGAGTTCAAACTGCTGACCTATCAGTTAGCAGTCGAGTGCTTAACAACTTCACCACCAGGGCTCCTTAACCTAGCAACCAAAAACCAAACCACTGCCGTTGAGTTAATGCTAAGAGTGACTCTATAGGACGGAACAGAAATCACCATAATTTGCTTGTCAATCATCCCTCTTATTCCCCAATAGTCTCTGCTAATACAATCTTTATATACAAGAACAGAAACAAATGGAGGCACAGCAAGTCTGGCGGCCTCTGACTCTACCATCATCTCTGTCAGCTAATGCCAAATAAAAACAGGAATACTCTATGATTTGAACTAAGTAAGTAATACATGAACAACCTTAAGTAATATGTGGACTCCTGGTGTGGCGCTGTAGAATCAGTACTGGACTGTGAACCACAAGGTCGGCAGTTCAAACCCATCATTTGCTCCTTGGAAACCCTATACAGGGTCTCCATGAATCAGAACTGACTCAAAGGTACTTGACAACAACAATAAGTAATATATGAACACAGTACCTTTAAAAAACTTTGTATTTATAGATTCACTAAAATAATTTAAAAAATTTTAAGCCCCACTACCACCATCAAGATATTGTATATGTAAATGACAATTTAAGGCATCTTCAACCCATTTAACGTTTCCTCTATGGAAATTCTGAAAAAACATTTTCTGGAACAAACCACATTATCAGCATAGGAAAAATCTTTAAAGGCAAACAAAAGCGTACCCACAGAGCTACTTGTGGTTTAGATGGCCTGGCTCTATAGTAAATCAAAGTCTGGATGGAGGACTATAGCCAAGTAAGTCTCTGCTCCAACAACTGCTGAACAGGAAAAAGGCACTGCTGTTTTAAGTGCCATCGTCAGTTCCAACTCATAGCAACCCTGTGTAGGGTTTCCAAGGAGCAACTGGTGGGTTTGAACTACTGACCTTGTGGTTCGCAATCCAGTGCTGATCTTACTGCGCCACAACAGGAGTCTAGAAAAAGGTACTAGTTCCTTGTATTTTCTACAGGCCAGACCAGGTTATGCAGGGCTGAAGTTGACTATTGTCAACTGCCACCCAGACTACCTATTCAAGCCTGATTCCTGCATCCTAGGCTAGTTCCAGAAGTTGTTGTTAGTGCCATGGATGCAAGGAGCACTGGTAGCGAAGTGGTTACGGATCGGGCTGCCAACCTCACAGTCAGCAGTTCGAAACTACCAGCTGCTTCACGGGAGAAAGATGAGGCTTTCTGTTCCCATAAAGATTTACAACCTCAGAAATCCTGTACAGGGTTGCTATTAGTCAAAACCAACTCCACGGCACATAACAACAACAACTGTGGATTCGGTTCCGATTCATAGGGATCCTGCACACTATGAGGCAGAAAGCCTCATCTTTCTCCCACAGAACAACTGGTAGTTTTGAACTGCCAACCTTGAGGTTAGCAGCCCGATTCATAACCACTACGCTACCAGAGCTCCTTAGTTCCAGAAGTAGAGTGACATTAATGTTCCTTATCACCAAAGACAAACCACAGGAAGGGCCATTCTCCAGACTGAATGGTAAGGTGGTTCTCAGTGAGCATGCTAAAATTAAGAATGATTCCCAGTGCTAGAGATTAGGTATCAATCTATTTAAGGAAGTTTCAAATACCTGGTGTGGCACCACGGTTTAATGTGCTGGACTGCAATGTCAGCAGTTCAAGCTCACTGGCCATTCCTCTGAAACCCTATACAGGGTCACTATGGATTGGAACCAACTCAATGGCATATAACAACAACAGCACATGCTCTACAACATACTTTTAAAGATTTAAAAAGTAATTTTCTATGAAATTAGTGATTGATCACTAATTGTTCATTAAATTCAATGAGTAATCTAGGCATTCTTTCTAATTGTTGTTGTTGTTAAGTGCCGTTGAGT